GGCGTCCATCTGCGACTCGGACACGGACCCGCGCGAGCTCGAGGCGTTCGCGGAGCGCTTCAAGCAGCGGCGTATCAAGCTGGGCGTGACGCAGGCCGACGTGGGCTCGGCGCTGGCCAACCTCAAGATCCCGGGCGTGGGCTCGCTCAGCCAGAGCACCATCTGCAGGTTCGAGTCGCTCACGCTCTCGCATAACAACATGATCGCGCTCAAGCCCATCCTGCAGGCGTGGCTCGAGGAGGCCGAGGGCGCGCAGCGCGAGAAAATGAACAAGCCTGAGCTCTTCAACGGCGGCGAGAAGAAGCGCAAGCGGACTTCCATCGCCGCGCCCGAGAAGCGCTCTCTCGAGGCCTACTTCGCCGTACAACCTCGGCCCTCGTCCGAGAAGATAGCCGCCATCGCCGAGAAACTGGACCTCAAAAAGAACGTGGTGCGGGTGTGGTTTTGCAACCAGAGACAGAAGCAGAAGAGGATGAAATTCTCCGCCACTTACTGAGGGGTGTGGGGGGTGCCGGGTGGGACGGACCGGGGAGCTGAAGGGGCATTGTGGGGGCTTTTCCCTGGCCTGCTTCCCCCCGGATTTGGAGTGTCCGTTATCCTGCTTGCATTTGGAGAGTCGCTCCTCGGGCGCTCTCTTCCGCCCCCTTTCTGCTCTCCTTGCCCTTACCTTCCCCCCAGCCTAGACTGGGGTATTGGGTGTGGACACTGGAAAGGATGGCGGGGAGAAGGAGCATTTGGATGAGCGGGGAGTAGGGTAAGGAAAGCGGAGACTGGAGAAGAGGTTTCGAGGAGCAGGAAGGTTCTAGGGGTTAGGGTGGGGGGAGACTCGGGAAGGGTAGGGAAATGAACTGTTTTGGACCAGAGACACTTATCAAAATCTCCTGGGGACCAAGTATCTATGTACAAAAACAAACCTACCAACCACCAAAAACTAAACGAATAAAGACAAACTAAAACAAAACAGAACAAAGGCAAATGAATATGCTTTAGAAATTTAACTCCAGGGAGTCGTATTCTGCAGCTTCATTTCCCCCTAAGGAAGAGGAAAAAAAGAGCACTACCATGATTTTCACTGACCCAACTCTACACACACGAACTGAGTCAAAAACCGAAAACCAAACGAATTGGAAGGCGAGGTTCTGGGTAGCGAAGCTAGTAGTTCTGTGTGTTTAATTTTTCCTTCGAAGTCTCACCTCCACCCCATTCTGTCCTGTTTGATTTATTTTCTGCGTTCCAGTGAGACTCCGATGGCTGCTTTCCATTGTCACAAAGTGAGTAGGGTAACAGCTGAAGGAGGGAGGCTTGACTGCCCATTTAGGTAAAGTCCAAGTTTTCCAGTGACCTGGCCTGTACTCCTGAAGCCTGGGCACAGTTGGGTAGGGGTGTTTAGGGAGAGAGAAAGAGTCTGAGCTGACTAAAAAGCAGAACTAAGGAGCTACGAAATAGATATGTTATTCTAGGAAAATAAAACAATTTAATAAGATTTTCTTTTTGCTCTTATATCTAAGATCTAGAAACAGACTATTCCAAAAGCAGCTCCCCGCCCCCTCCCCGTCCCCC